TTTTTCGAAGAGCTGCCGTATCTGTCGGTTGTAATATTCCACAAGATCCATTCCATTAGACTATCATAATAATCAAAATGTCAGAGCCCTCTTGAGCCGCTGTGACTCAGTGGGTAGCGTCGTTGGTGTTGACGGTGAAAGTTTCTCTGGACTTTCGGTCGTGGCTTCCTCCCGTCGGAGGTGTAGGAAGAAGGAAATAACAACGTTGGCGTGCACGTAAAATAACCAATGTTAATTGGAATTCGAAATAAGAGTAGGCCATAATGGCGCTTTCTTGGTAAAATGCAGAAACGTATGGCGTTAAACTCCATTCCATTTCATTTTTGTCGCAGCGATTAAGGATTGAACTATTTCGGAATGCCGAACATTATGAGACGATTTTTGTACCCAGCTCCATCCATTCCCTAGAATTTGTAAAACAAAAACTGACTTTGATGACGTCACCAAATTAACCTGGGCTTTAAATTTTGAATGGAAAATTAATGTAAATGTAATTAGAAATTTATCTGGGTCACAATATAAGTAAAAACTATTGCTCTAGGAAACATTAAATTGCATTAATTACCCTTTTAATTAAAGTCATACTTGTCGACCGTAAAGTACATGTAATTCATAATATAGCGCACCCATAAACAGGTCATACGTAATTGAGCATGTCGGTTCTTGTAAACCCACATCTAGTCACATTAATGCACATTTTAAAAATATAGTGTTATGTAACTTTAACATAAACGGACGTGCAAGTTTTTATGATGCACATAAAACATAAACTGTTATATAAATATAAATACGACCAAATGAAGAAGAGTCGGAATCACGAGACCAATATAAAGTAAGCATAGCTATTTGACGCCACAGTTTGGTTCTGGGTTGTCACATATTGGTTATTGAGAAAGCGCATAAAGCAGTGGTATGTGGTACTATACAACCGTGGTTCTATGTCACTTACCAGGTAAACACGGGTTTGATACCGGTGTTGTTCGAGCAAGTTACTCGGGATTTTCATTTTCAAGACCGGTTTCGCCTTGTCGGTGGTGCAAGGAACAGCTTCCGGTTCAGATGGTACTGAAAACTGCGCTCCAGTGTACACATTGACTAGCACGTAAAGGAATCCGTCATAGTACACCACTTGGTATATGCCCGTCTCTTTTAGTCCGGTTGGGACAGACCGGTTCATTTCATTGCATACAACTCGAATATTCAATATACTGAATTTTACAAAGGCACATGGGCTTTCTATTGCTGTTAAAATGTTGCTCAAATTTACGAATTGTGCGTCTGAAAATAGATTATTATTACTTGTAAATGACGTATTGGACAGAAAACACATATCTAATACGCATAAGGAATTCTCAGCATCAGTTTATACTCTATATTATATTTACAAAACCCTTAAATGTAATGTTAAAAGGGTGCCTTCTCTTATATACCATTCGTTTCATCTTTTACTGTCAATGACCATGAAGTGCAATAAAATTAGTCATTGCTTTGATACGTACGATGAGTTTTACTCATAAATACTTATACTTGAACACCTCCAGTTTAATGTCTAGTTTTAAATTTCTTTGATGATTTACAAAACATCCGAAAATCTACTTTAAGAGAATTTGTTAAACATCGATCGTGAGAATTGGAATAGGGATGTTTTTAGAGCGACTGTGATCGGTGATCTTCATACACCATGGACTAGTGTGGATTTAAGATAAACTCTTGACAATAAAATCAATTTGTGTTGAACTGCACAGCTATGATATGATTTGTTTTTCGATTAATTTTGCTTCATATACTGTTTTTTTTTATTTATTATCTTATTTGGTTTTCTGTAGATATACCAATGCTCGGCAATTAACTTTTTGTTGAATTATTTCTAACATATAAATACAATCGTGATACATTGACAAATTATCAAGTTTTTCATATTATCTTTCAGTGTATACCTGCATCTCCATTAATATAACGTATCTATGTTACTGCTTTATCGTGCATAATCAACAATAAATACGCTCAACTGATTAGGCAATTTAGGGCCAACGAAAAATAATCATCGGGAAATATTTGTATTTTCGTCTCGTTTGAAAGCAAATGGCTTATTTTCTGAAAATAATTATTTACGTTACTTTCACTTTATCCATTAACAAAGTAATTTTTGATGCCCATTGCATTTCTTTGTTCTTTCTATTCAAGACGCGTTTCATCTATTGGCTGTGTCATTTGTTTTTTCTGGCAGAGCGATCAGCTAAGTCATTATTTGTATATCAGCCCGTTCAGATGTTCTAATTGGAGGCAGCAACTTATTCCTAACTGAGGAGTTTATATAATCCTGCTTTGATTATGAAAAATATATATACTTTATTTTTTAGGTCTTTGAGCTTTCGATGTTTGTATATTTGGGATCGACAATACAAAAGTTTAACGTTGTGATTTGTCTTTTAAAATAGTTGATACCAGATATTCAGGAAATTCTTGTTATTTTTAAGATACTGAAAATTACCATTTTATCGTGCATATATGTTTTGTGGTATAAAGAATTCAAAGTTCTCTTGATGCTGTACCATCGCTTAAACCAAATGATAAATCAAAACCTGTCAGGATCGCTAACAGAGGCCAACAGTAGGAAAACAGGGTGTTAATTGTACTACCGTTTGATAACAGCACCTCACCAACATAGTGTTAACGTAACACTCTCACTGTTTCAGTGACCTCCACTAATCAACAGATACTTGAAACTTCATTAGACCGATGCCACTCCATTTTCTGCTAAATGAGTTTTGATGGCCTCCCCCAGGGTGAGAGACAAGGCACCGATCGGTCGCTGGAGGAATAGGTCAGTCGGTAATAGAGCCCATGGGAGATTCAATAGATAAATTAAGCAAACTAAACTGTCTTATTAAAACTCTTAATCGCTTTTCAATTTTCATTAGCTTGTATATAATGATAAAACAATCCCCATAAACTTTGCTTCCAAAATAACTAGAATATTTATCTCTGTATTTCTGTTGGTTTTTTCAAGGAATGTGCCAATAAACCCACCCACTAACAAAATATAAACAAGAAATGAGTATAGTGAACATTACGTTTTATTCCTTTAATGATTTTCCCATAGAAATAAAATGAAATGGGGTTTAATGTCCCTCTGTTCTGCTCCGACTGGGCTAATGAAGACGGGCATACGCCATACAGTGTGCTATGAGGAAAACTTTTCCCGGGCAACGGCACTATAGCCTACTCTTGTATCGAATTCCAACGGCCAAGGGATCTTTTACGTCACGCCAATGTATACACGGATCCTCGGTTTTTCCCCATAGAAAGCCTGAATTATTATTTTGCAATCTGAGCATGGGGTTCTTTAACGTGGATACTAACGTGTGTACACGGGACGTCGGTTTTTCATAACCATGCGAACGACGAGACGCTGTTTCTTGTCAGGGTCTCCATCTTGCACCATTGACAAGGGTAAACCAGGGTTGATAACGCCGAGGAACATTTCGGCCAACACCCGAGCACTCCAGGTTTGTGAGCTACGGTGATTCTCGGACATGACCTTTCTGCTAATAGAATTTTGATTTTTATCCAAATATATGCGCAGGGGGGCTTTCATACACATTATTGTTCTTTTGTTAAACTGCAACATCACCCAAGAGAAAAAATTTGAATGTGCAATAATACGCCACAAAGTTTATCCTTTTATAAATCTGTCTCTATTATAATACACTTCAGGCCAAAAGCGGTTCAAGTTAACCAATAGGGAAGCACAAAAACATTAAACTATAACCACACTGTAGGTTTTCATTCTCTTGTATAAAATAACCAGACTCAAAGAAAGAATATCAGCGGCAGAAAGATACAGTATAATAGAGTTTCCCTCTCTTCACTTTGTTGATAATGATTGAGGAGCTATCAAATTTTTTGTTGATAGAAGGTAAATATCAGTAGAGAGTCGAGACTTAAAGATGTTGGTGAACGTTTTCACTGATCTTATCTATTTCTATAGGTTTGCTTTTATCTATACAAAATATTTCACTTTTACCATAACAGACTGAAAATAAAAGGGGGACTGGATGGCCGAATGGTTAGCACGTGCGTGCTGTATCATAAGGCCTGTCATTGAGTCAACTGGCGTGGTTTCGAATCCCCCGGTTGTAGGGTCGCCTGTCCAACCTCGTGGGTTTTCTCCAGGTCCTCCTATTTCCTCCCACTGCTAAAGACCTTTACGTGCAAGCGAATTATTGAAATCTAATTAATCCATATGTTATTTCCGAAATGACCTGAAAATGAAATGAAATGAAATGGAGTTTAACGTCCTACTGTTCTGCTCCTAACCTGGGCTAATGAAGACGGGCATACGCCATACAGTGTGCTTTGAGGGAAATTTTGCCCGGACAGCGGCACTACGGCCTACTCTTATATCGAATTCCAACTGTCAAGGGATCTTTTACGGCACGCCAATGTGTACACGGGACCGAAATGACTTAGTTTGTGTCGAGTGGACGTTAAACCCCATTTCTCTCTCTGAAAATAAAAAGTATTTGTAAAGGACCTATGTATCCCTTTTCTAAGAAAGGGGAGGTAGGCTGCGAAGGTTACAGTTTACAATGCAATTTTTTAAGGACTAAACATGAAAAACAAAAAACCTTTCTAGTCCTCTATTTTGTTGACTTGGTGAGTATTGTGTTGGTCGAGAAAGTCCCGCGGGTCTGTGAAGCAGCAGAGTCTAGCAATTCTAATCAATACCCAAAGTCCGACGTGCACGTTTGCGTGCACGAATAGAACTCTTGTCAGCTGGATTTCGATGATGCAAACCCAACTTTACTCCGTTTCATTTCTCTGTATTGTGTGCATTCCAGAGCTTGGGAGTCTTTGCATTTTTTCAAATTCAACTTAGATATCTGTAGTTTATTAAGTCATTATCCCAACTTATTTAGCTACAAATGTGTGTCTTGTTCATTCACTGACAAAATACTAGTGAACAATATTTTTTATTAGATTTTATTTTTCTCCATTTTAATTCCAGAACATTTTATACATCTCTTTATTTGTATCACTCACAGATTGTTCTGAAAAAGTTTATAGATAATATCTACCAGCACGCGAGAAAGGATCACCAGGGATATCTATTAATATTCTAGAATACAAATAAACATAAATTATTTACACTTAATTATATCTTTATAGTTCTAATATACAAAATATTATGTACAAATGGACAGTAAGACTGTTGAATAGAATAACCTTATTTTGTTCCACACAAAAATCTACAGTAGTAAACATACAGATCGCATAATATAAAAACTCGAAATAGAAAGTGAAAGAAATTTACTTAATAATATAGTTAAACAGTTTTCAAAGGCAATAGATTATGATACCTTTATAATAAGACAATACAAATAAATAACAATAAAATGAATTTATACAAATGAAATATATAAACATCAAAATTAGCACATGGATAAAATTTTCAAAATGTTCATATATCTATAGTTGTTAAATACATTTAAACACTGTTCGAATAGCAATCAAGGATCTCTCGTTTTGGCCAAAGGATAGAGTCTGTTCAAATTAAACCCCACGCCGTACGGATCAAGTTGGTGTGTACTGTCTGATTTTTTTTCATATTTCTTATATAATCAATAACAAGCCATCAATTCAAAAACAAATTTCTTTTCGGTTGTACCCTTTGAAGAAAATACACGGTATCGATGATTTACACATTAAATACACATATTGTCACAAAATTTTCCCATTGTCTTCTAAAACATCTAGCTTAGTTTACAATTAATGTAGGCTGCGATTGTCATAGATAAGCTGCTCTAGTACACATTCGGTTACTGTATAATACTGAATTATTTATGTCTAAAATGTATTGCATAGTTTATGTGTAAGTTACACATGCATTTTGGTACTGTATGGACGAATTACATGTTGAATGCAGGTGTTGGTCATTTGCACATTACAATGGTCGATCTGTTGGGGTTAAATTAAGAACTGATGTTGATGATGATGTGGAGTTTGGTGCTATACTTTCTACTATTAATGACAAACAATCTAAACTAGAGACACCATTTCCCGATACTTCATAACCTGCAAAATAAAGGAACATTCATCAGATCAGCATTGGATGCCAATTTATATGTCAAATAATAATCTCTGTGTAAATGAACAAAATATAACACCACACGAATAAGTATTCCGGGGATGAAGTTGTGCTTGGAATTTAAGTGGGACTAGCGTATACTGATTTAATTTGACGGTCGAACGTTACATTTAGCATTAGAGCGTATACTGAATTTTGTTTCCCTATGATTAAAATACTGAATTCCCTAACATTCAATAATTAGGCCTGTGTCTGTCTTCGCCGAAAAAAGTAGGAAATGCGTAAGATCATTATCTACATTTTCATGTGAAGTTGTAAAATTGTTTGTAATGAAGAATGAAGTTGAAAACTTTCCCTCCATAGCATTGGTTTACAATAAATAGATATATCAGTGGCAAACCTTCTAAATATTTGCAACTCGTAAATTTTAGCTCGTCAGAAATTAAAAACAGATTGAGTAGCGAAATTGAGACTGTAAAAAGTGAAATTGGCTTAAGAGTGAAATATTGAAACAATTAGTGAATTATCTGATGCCGTCACAACCAGTCAATTTAGTCTAGTGAATATCACTTCATTCTTTCAACGGGGGAATAAACGTCTTAACACGTCATATATCGTACCCAGGCAAAACAGGGTGTTGATAGAAGCTAAGTACAGCCAGCTTATTGAATCACACTGGTGTCTTGTGTTTGGTAAGTAGCCTGCTGAAAGCATTCGTATATCCCAGAGCTCCATTAAAACAAACCGTTTGTCCCTTAAGGCGCGTTTTTAGTGCATCATTTTCCTCGTTTTAATCTGAATGAGATTTAAAGTTGCTGGGTCAGATTTCTAATTTGTTTTCATCGCTAAGAAAATGTTAATTCAGGTGCGAGATTGGGTTTGGAGTAAAAGCCCACGTTTAGCTCGAGACATGTGTAGATAAAATCTATAAGGAAATGTGACGTGCTGTAACATGGAACCATTCCTGATAATGGACTTAATTAGAAGTTCTTTTAATGTTTATAGTTCAGGTAGTATAGGCACATAGGGAAATCATTACATCACAAAAGTAGGACAATATTTCAAGCGGAGTTTATTTTGTAAGAAAAGTAAAAAGAAGCTCTTCTACCATTTCTTCCCTGTTTATTAATATTTAGCCATTGGTCTGGGTTTTAAAGCTAATGTAATATATTTTCATTGTTACCACTGTTTAGTATTCGTGACCAGTTAAAAGAAATGGATAAAGTAATGACAATTTATTAGAAAAAATATTTAATAGAGGCACTGCGTTACTTGTAAGGTAATTAAGCAAATAAACGCCGCAAAAATTCAAGTTACTCAATAAAACTAAATTATTAGGTCTACCATGGATCCTAAAATATACAAATTTAATCAAAATGCGCTTTTATTTATTTAAAAAGATCAATATAATGTCGTATAGGAATTTTCGTTTCGCTTGATTGTAAGTGTTAAAATGGCAAAGAATTGAGAAGCTGACGAAAATTGGCTGTAAATCTTGTAAGAGTTCACAATCCGTCTTAATCAAGTCAAGTCGAGCCGAGAAAAAGTTTTCTGAGTAGAAAAACATCTAGTTTCCCGCAAAATGATATAGCGTAACTTACACAGCATTGAAGATATAAGTATTTCTCCATCTGGGTTTCACGATACGCCGAGTGCTTAGAATTCTAATATATACATGTTCTATGAAACACGGGAGCAAAGGGCCACTAATGTTAACTTTTGGATAATGAGGGTACGAAATGAGCAGAACCGTTATAATGAATTCTGCAGATGTCCAATAAAACACTTGTAAAAATTATTAATATAGATCCATTTAATCAGTGCCACGAACATATTTTAAAGGATTTATAAATGAAATGAGGTTATTACTGCTATACTATAATAACATCGGATTCATGAAGCAACCCTGCCTTACCCTTTCACTGAAGTAACTACAATTATTGGATATGGAACCATAAACATCTAATAACTGTCAAGTAGCGAATCAGAAGAAACAAGATTTACGTTTTTAAAAAGATTTTTTTTGCTTGGCGTATCGCTTTAAATGATGAATTATAAATTGGGTATAGGGTTGCATTTTATATTTTCGCAGAAGGTAGAAAAAGTTTATTAAAATCCCACGAGGTAGGGTATCAGCATTACAATTTCAACAGTTACAAACACTGATGCATTTCTCGAGTTTATTTTCTTTTTAAATTATTCATAAAATAAAAATAAAGAAGATATTTTCTCCAATATCTTGGTTATAGTGCCTTAAATTTAAGATCAAAGAACTACCCAATCTGTCTGTATAAGTAATAAAACTGAACCTTCTTATCTCTACTTCAATTGATATTTTATTACCTATGTTATCTCTTTCTATACTGTGTGGTTACATAAAGTAAAAAAGGTCATCTTATCAATATTTAAAAACAGTGAAACTTGCGTAAGATTAAAATTAAAACACAAACACACACACACACACGCGTCGACACACGAATTCCGTCTTGAAAGTAACAGAATATATAATTAACTTACCGTTATTTCCTTGGTTAAAATTACCATTACCATCGTTCATATGATGCATTTTATCTGAATAATATTGTGGACTGTTGACCGTCTGAAAAACAAAATATAACATTAACTGCTGAATGCCTTTTACACGAAGACTAGCGAATACTATAATGCCCATATGAAATCACACAAGAGGCCACATTTAATATAGATTTCTGAATGATCCTAATTTCGACTGAACTACTTTTTAAGGCGATCACTAAAAGATAATCAATAATGATTTGTGAAAAGTCCTGCGTTTTTAAGGTGAGCAACGTTTACGAGTTCAAACCAATTCAAAAGATTCGCTATTGAATGAATATAATTCTAGAACTTCAGTAACACGATCTGCAGTAGAAGACATTTAAATCTTCAACAGAATTCACTACACAGATGAGAATAATATCAACAAATGTGAGAATCTTTATTCAGTAAACATCGTAATCCTAAAGAAGACGTTGGGATGTTGAAGACTCTAAATACCAGGTAAATGTGTTGAACATATAATTATCTACACTGTTTATTTTGAGTGAGTAGTTTGACTTATCTAGAGGTATATAAGTAACATATCGCTAGAGATAGCTTATTTATATACGTGCATGATATCAAGACGACGGCAAAACATGCCTTCAAATCTATGGGGTAGACACCGTGTGGAGAGTTTATTATTTTGGTGTTGATAAAGTGACCTTAATATACCGTCTTATTGTAAATTGATGCTTATTTTAACACGAGCTGCTCCCCTACGGAGTTGAGGTGAAATGATTTTGATTGATGGCCTAAGCTGTAGATTTGCGGCAAGGTGATCTGCTCATCGCCTTCTTATTTAGCTTGTATATTTAGATATGGAATAAGAGGATAATAAGGCTGATTATAAATCGACAAAAAATAACGTGGATAATTCCTGGTAGAATTATTTCTACTTTAGACCACTTACATCTCCAAGCATCAGAACTTAAAGGTGGCATGAACAAAAGATAGACACGAGTGTGGGATGTTTTCGATATATTTCACGTAGAACGTGTATACCACGGAGAAGCAGATGAAAACATGAACACAAAATACAATTCCATCAAAATATTAATAAATATAATTGCAGCCGGTCGAATTGCAAATCAATTTTTACCGAACTTTATTAAAAAGTATAATAATTGCTATGGACAAATAAATTGATAAGCAGAGTATAATGAGCTACGGTTTACTTGTTCTTCCTTGGGTGTCTCTTTTTAAAGTTCATTTAAATGAATTTATTATAAATAAAGCAATAAATAAAGCAATTGTTATTTTAATTTTAGACAATATGTTATACAAGTGTAAATTTAAGTTTCAAAATTATATCATTTCCATCTGTTTAAGCATATCCCTGATGTATGTTTATTTATATTCGTCATATTTATGATAATATTTTGACATTTATATATGTGTATTTAATATAAGATATATCAACATGTGCTTTACTAGGTGTAAATATGTTAATATAAGTATAAACGGATGTTAAAGACATGTTTATAATTATTGTAATAACCTAGAACTAACATAACATGTAAACATATGCTACTTCAAATATACTTAAATTCGTTTATTAACATATCATCATATATTTGTGTATAGCGAAATTAATGGTGAATTTGGCTTTAAAGGGGTGTTATTGGACTTTATTTTTTAAATTTTTGAGGGATTATGTGGAATCATACTATAGGTCGGCATTCAGCAGATTAATATATCTGTAATTCTCCATGATGCTGATTGGCAAATGAATCATACTATCGTGAGAACGTTTTCAACATGACATCATTTTCAGCTTTAATTGTGACAGTGAAGAACATTAGAACTGCGGTCCCATATAAGTTATTTGCATTAAATATATCTTAGAGTAAATTTACATCTTGGTGGCAACCTTGAATCAATTAAAATCAGAGAAATACTTATATTTTGTTAATTATTTAAATTCAAGTGTAACACGTGTGTGGAGGCGGTGTGTTGAAACCATCAAAGTAAAAATGTCTCTTGGCCGCCATCACGTTTCAGCTCAAAAACGTCGTACTGCTGGCAAATCTCAACAGGGGTGAGAGAAGTAAAGGAGAAAAACATCTTGGAATTTAAACGCTCTATTAAATTCTCCCCGAAAGTCCAACTTACAAGTGACATGATGTTAAAGCAAAGCGTCGTTAGTTACATGTTCATTTAATTGGAACGATGTCCACGTTCTTAAGGAACAACTTGCTAGCACTGGGAATCGTACTAGGGAGCCGCGATCAAGCTTTGAAATGATGTTACCAGATTGAGCCGTATCTTATATACGAATAAATAGCAAATTTATCAACAGTTATCTTTCTTTTGATGTGTGCCTATAATATTTTTAGAGATAATTAATTAAAATTACTTATATTTTATAACATAAATTCATATGTAAATAGCACGCGAGCAAAACAAAAGATTAAAATTTACAAAAAATAAGAACATTAAATAAATGAAATATGTTAAATATGCTCTTTCAATTTAAATTAAATTTAGATAATAATTTACATGAAAAGTTTGTTTGGTGATTTCTTTGATGACAAAATAAAAATGTGCAGGAGTGTAAGTATGGACTTCCCTTTCTTTGTCCTGCTCCGATAGTGCTCATTACATAAACTCTCCGTTGGTACTGTCTTAATATTTGCCTCTATCTATCCACGACGCCTTTGTTTACAGTATTGACTTCTTAAGAATCTGATAAGGTAATTTTTTTTAAATGCTATTATATAGGTTTTTTATATTTTATATATTTCATTTAACTTATCAAGCAGTGGACAATAACAGCAAGCATTTACATAATTCTTTAATATTTAACTAAATATAGTGGAAATTAGTAAAGCTCGAAACAGACTGACGGACAGGCAGACAGACATACGGTTAAAGATAAATATACAGACATAGATAAATTTACGGTGACCGACAATGATAAATTATACGTGAGATAGTTCTTCGTCATTTTCAGATAGCTCAAGTACCACAAGTCAGGCGCCATTTCAATGTCATTTCAACAATTTTGAACGATTTTCCATGTTAGGCTGAAAATTTATGGCCAACTATTTGTTTTTGTATTATGAAAAGAATGGAAATTATAGGTTTTGTTTGCTAATGTTATGGTTGTCTCTCGGCACCAACCCCTGTAAATGTTTCCGTTTGTTGTTCATTTTTTCATGTTTCGTCAATTTTTTCGGCTCTTTATAATTTATTCTTTTAAGTACAGTTTCATATTTTATTTTAAACTGCACACACTAATTTGGAAAATTTGCAACCACATTACCCAAATGATAAGGCTATTTTAACATTTGCTACAAGGGAAGTCTCCGTATACTGGGAATATCCAACAGTATTTTAAAACTTCTTGTTAAAACATATATTAAACGCATTGATTGGAAACCCCATTACCGAAATATTAAGGCTGTTTTAATTTTTGCTAGACGGGAAGCCTCCGTCTACCAGCGATATTCACTTTTATCTGTATTAACTTTCCGTTAAAACATGTATTAAACACATTATTTTGGAAGACTTCTAACTCATGTCGTAAATATTGGAAATTTTAATTAAAGGGGTGCTAGCAGATAAGTGGAATAGCAAGTCATAAAACGTAATTTTGTTACAACTTGTCTCTAATTCTGGCTTCTCACCTTTTAAATGACAATTTGGAAGGTTACCTTTCTTGAATTTAGAAAAAAGTTCACCTTTTGTGAATTGGTAAAAAAAATCACCTTATTTGAATTGTTAAAACAGGTTACTTTATTTGAATTTGTAAAAAAGGGTATCTTTATTTGAATTGGTAAAAACGGTCATTATATTTGAATGGGTATATAAAAAGAGCATTACTTTAGTCGCCTTTAACCTTATCATTTCATCTTTTTAAAGTTCTTCATAATATACATATTATACATAATATTTTCAAATAAAATTAATAAACTACTTTATCCTTAGTATCACGAAAGTAGGTAATTATATCAGAAAAAAAAGATAACTTTTTCCCGGTATTTTTTCTACTAAGTGAACCTCTAACGCCTCCTTGCCTTCACCTAATTAAATATTATCAATATTTTCTTAAATTTACGCATGTTAGTTTATTAACTGGCAAGGGAAAAAATCGGCAGTTTATACCTCAATTAAATAGAAATATGAGATGTAGTTATCAAGGCATGCTTTCGTATATTTCTCTCTTTATGGGAGTGCAAAGTCATGAGTCTTAGATATACGTCTTCAGTCACACTTAAGTTTTTCTCTACACATGTGCTTACAATTTAATATTCTCTTGGTAATTTGCACAGTTTGTTAATGATCCTAGGTTGATTATTATAATTAATAATTCATCCTATTTTATTATTCCTTAACAGCGAGGCCAGAAGTTATTTTGTATAGATTTTTATTTCTACATTTGAGTTAAATTGACTGTTGATTCAAACGGCGAATCTACATGGGTTATTTTGTGATATGCATTTGCATTATGATAAAAAGAAATTTTCATGAATTGTGCAGACTTAAATATCATCAAAATATCTTTATATGATAATTCTGTTTCTGTTAAAATTCAACGTAAAATAGAAACTTTATTATCATGCTGACTTCACATGGAGGAGAGTTATGCGAATATCCATAAATAATTGAGTCTTAATTAAAACCATACGTGTAGAAATCTAATCGGAAAAGATACGACACCGTATTTATAATTACCCGTTTACCAAATACATCATAAAAAGGCGGACCGACGTTTCGTTTCGCTTCTTTTAAACACAACACGATCATAAAATTAGACGGTCGGAAATAAGAACGCAGTTAATTGCTCTGAAGTTTTCAAATACCAAAATAAACATTTCTCAAGTTAGGAGAATATTATGGTTGAGAGGAAATGGAGTTTCTTCTTTGTTTATTTTAACTTTTTTCTCTGGCAATCGAACCTGAATCAAGTTGCTCTTTTATTATTTGTAAGAAGTGCCAGGGTAAATATATGTGCCACACATTAGGCCAACTTTGAAATTTTAACATTCTACAAATATTTTATGAGATTTCAATCTAGAAAAATTTAAAACATTGATAAACATAGATAATCGTGATAAAAACGGGCCATAAAGATGCAATGATATGTAATGTGTTTGTTAGTCTTGTTCTCTATCATACAGATTTTATATCTATATATTTCATAAAATACAAAACTCGACAATATAGCCAGCCTTATCCATGGCAGATTTGCAATTCGTTATAACTGAATAAATGATATAAATACCGTTTCTAAAACAATTTCTATCTTGAATATCATATCCTCCAGTATAATTGAAAGAAAATAAGATCGGTAATGTTGGTGGTCTTTAAAATAATTTTCAGGAGTTCTTAATTAAAGTATTTATGTAGTGTTAAATAAGCTAATTTCTTAAGGTTTTTGGCAGTGTAAAAAGTTAAGTCCGTTTATAGATAATTAAAATGCTTGATATTAAATCTAAAACTGTAATTGATAAAATTCCACTGTGTATTTCTTGTATTTAAGCATTGGTATAGGAGTTCAGGAACAAATTAATTGTTTTTCAGTATGTATAATAAGGCAACATAGAACCGAATCTCATTTTGATCTCTGTAAAAACTTTTAAATTGTGTCATTTAAAATCCATCTGTAAAACTTTAACCTTTAAACTATGTAATAATAAACCCCATGTAAATAATGAACGGACAAAAACTTACAATGAAAATAACATACGAGTGGGTCTTTTTTCTTATTTTTACCTAAATGTTGGGAGACTTTCTGTAATTGTTATCATTTGGCTTCGCCTTGTTATGATGTTTGTGGTTTATTGTACATACGTGTGTATCAAGTTTTGTGTTTAATATCTTCAAGTATAAAGGTGATTATCATCAAATATGTGACTTTAAATAATCATTATCATCATCACCAAATATGTGACTTTTCATGCTATTAAATTAAACTGAATACACAAATGTTTGGTCACACGCTATTCGCGTCTCAAAACCGGAAAAATTACAAAAGTGCATCATTTTGTTTAAAATCTATCTATTCCCAAATAATTATACCAATCAGATTAATATTCCGCCTTCATTAGTCTGGTTTGAGGAATTGGTAGTTAGTGTTAGTATCAAATCAAGTATTAAATCATACCATGTAATCAGAACCGCTACTAGATGATCCTGATTCATTACATGATGCATCTTCGTTTCTCGATATTCGATTCCCATGAAGTAAATCTTCCAAACTTTCAATATAGTCTATAGCATTTCTCAATATTTCAACCTTCGGTAAACGCTGATTGGGATTTGGACAGGTTCTGCGTTTTAAAACTTCGAACGCTTCGTTCACACGTCGCAGTCGTCTTCTCTCGCGCATTGTGGCGGCTTTTCGTCGATCAACGGTGACAGTCTTTTTCTTACAAGCCTTACAGGCCCATAATAAACACCTTCTGTTTGGACCGTGATAACCCGGAGCTAATACATGGGGTACGTGCCCGTCACTGTCATCCGATAAAAAGTCATCGTCATCTAATTCTGATTTAGATGGTGAACACATGTCTCTAGCGTGTAACTTTTCGTCTGCTTTACAACTTTCTTCTTTCACAGGGCTCCCCGCTTTATCAACTTGTCCCAGCTTTCTGTCCTCCTTGGAATTAAAATTTTTCTCTTTGCTGGGTGAAAAGTTCCGCTGTTTCTTACACTCTATTTGTTGAGGTTCGCCATTAGCTGTAAATAACCGCTGATGCTGAGTCGTGTTGTTGCCGTACCCATAAACTTCTGGATATTGGCGAGTGAAGGCTCTGTGATAAGCCGCAGTCGGGGGCCCAAAATAATCCTCCCGAGCACCAGGGTGGGAATAAGATATATCCATAATCTGGCGAGCTTCTGACATGTCGGCAGAGCTAAAAGAGTTAGAGTTAAACACAGGAGGCGTATGCTCGTATCGGCAACTACGATAGTCAGCCATCATCATCATTTTGGCCGGTCAGGTCAGGAAAGAATCTTATCTTCTTTAAACTCTAGGAATAATTTCTTCTGTCAGCACTTACCGCCCTTTCCCCACCAACGAGGATACTTACAGTTCCGTGAACAGTTTATTACTGTCGAGACAACACCAATCACATAGAAGTTCCCAAACAACGTATTTCACTACAACAGGGAGAGTTCGAGTTTCTTGTGAATGACATTGAGTCAACCCGGTCGATTGTTTTTAAGTCGTGGCAACCAAATTCACGGTAACCCAAAAGAAGTAAATTTCACAGTTCTGTAACCCTGGCAATCACGAGTACTCTTCAACACAAATTAAAACTTTCGCGTTTCTTTGGCATATTTTTCTTCGGCCAAAATCTCTATGAGAAGAAAGTTCTATGACTGACAGATCACCAACCAATGAAATTCGAGAAACCCATGACGTCTTGGATTTGGCGAATTTTCCACCTCTGAAGGGGGTTTGGTTGTAAATCTAGGTTATCCAGACATCGCCTACATCGATACTTCTAAACCTGCACTAGAAGCGTCTGGTCGCTCTTCGCCAAAGAGGCGGTCTGAGATCAAAAGATGTAGATAGTTTGGGAGGCTTTTAAAACTATCCCAGATGTTTAAAGAAGTCATTGGAACTTGTAATGGATACCCTCATCGCTCTATCAATGATGAGAAGTGCGATATTTTTCGAGGAAAAAATTAAATGACTTCTTAACTTTCACGCGCTTTCCGGTAGTCATCTGGGTAAGGCTGCTCTCTGATTAGATGCGTAAATAACATATTACCGCCAATTTAACTCTGATTATTAACATAACGTATAAATTACTAACATGCGACTTTTCAATGACGCTTTAATTAGTCTCACTAGCTTCAGCTTAATATCGAGGAATTTTCAAACAGATTCAACTCTTACATCAACCTACCTTCTAAAGTTTTCATTTTAAGAATCTGAAAGATTTGAAGAGATGGCGTCTTATGAGTGGATATTTCCTTTGAAATACATGGACAGGGTCAAGTATTTTATCATAAAGTTACGTTACATCATTATGCTCGGCTTATTTTAAAACTTTAATATTACAGATAATGAAATCTGAAGTGGAGACGTAATTCAGAGACATTTTTGATGACAGTCTTTCATTTTAAAAAATGGTTTAGGTCCATTGACTTCTCTATAAATTGTTATTGTTTTGGCTCTTCTTGTAGTAGTAGTAGTTCTTGGTGTTTAACGTCTGCTTCCACATAAGTGATATCGCAGACTACAACTACTTCTACTGCTCTTCTTGTAGAACCCCCCCCCCCCTTGTTAATATTTACCTCTTTTCGAAATATTTCAGATCTATAGATTGTTGAATATAAATTGCAACCAACCGTATGTTTATGATATACGGGTATTGCGTTTTGAATTCAAAATCAGATCATACAATTTTATTTACTATTTAGTAAAAGAGTTGTACATTGCGGCAAATTGGAGTTCAGAAGTTTTTGCAAATAGCACCACAGAGAATAGTGCGTTGTTTGGTCTGTCGATAATGCAATACGGACAACTAGTGGAGAAAGATTCTCTTTTAAAAAAAAAAGAATACAAACTTTAAAAAGTTCCATCTGACGTTTTTAAATATAGAGGTAACAAAAAATGACACATTTGTGATGTCTATGTTGTATGTAAAGGAGAGAGAGCGAGAGAGAGAGAGAGAGAGAGAGAGGGAGAGAGAGATGGGGTTTAACGTCCACTCGAAACAAACTAGGACTAACACATGGTTTAATTTTATTTCAATAATTCGCTTGCGCGTAGGGGTCTTTAGCAGTGGGAGGTTATCGGAGGACCCGGAGAAAACCCACGAGGTTGGACAGGCGATCCTACTCCTTGTCACGTACAACCGGGAATCGAACCCCCCGCCAGTCGACTCTATGACAGGCTGTATGGTTTAAAAGTATTTTGAAAGCAATCGGTTGAGCTTATACCATAAATGTTTTATATGTAAAAAAAGAGTGACAAGGAATCTTGTATGAAAAAGCTGTATTCATTTGTAAACTAATGGTAATGAATACAACAAGGTTTTTGTCATAGGTTTGTTTTTCCTGAGACTGTCGCTGGCTAGAATATTGATGAAACGATGGTTACAAATATTATCAGTTGATTAACCTCGTTACTATTACTTCGTGCATAATGCTGTCTAGGTGACTCTAATATGACCAGTATTTATACACAGCAAGTTTGGATTCCACACAAACACATACATATAGTCGTCTGTAATTTTATACATTCAAAGTGATTCCAATCTCTACCATTTGAAAAATGCCCTGTTCAAGATCGGCAGTTCAAATTAAGATTTGTGTCTTCTGGCTGAAAAAAACCACGGTGGGTTTCGATAAATCCTACTGAAATATTAGTTTAAAAAAGCGAAGGAAGTTCTTTTTTTGGAAACCCACTTATGATATGAATTGTGGCCTTATTTACAATGGATGACATAATTTACTTATTTATATGAATTATGTAAGAAGTAATTTACATTTAGCTGTCTTTGTCTATTTCCACAACTAGTTTCCATCTTAATCATCAAGATAAAATCAAGTTTGCCGATCTTTGAATATTTTACTTCGTTTTCTACTTAAAAATAATTTATGAATGTTTGAAAAAAATCCGGTCTCAAATATCAACGTTCATGTTTTTGTGATTGAATAAGGCGGGTGTTATAGGACAAGATTAATAGATGTTGTGAATCTACCCCACGTGTCATGTGTTTATACTGCAACCAGGTTACGACTTTTTACGAAACGACAAAAAGTCGAAGACATTCATCATCGTCCAGTTTAAAATTTTCATGTCTTTAACGTTAAATATTTGTCGTTTATGGCATACTTAAGTGAGGGTTCAAAACTAAATCGGAGTCAAACCAATGATCAACTGTGGAAGTATCATAACGGAATTCGATTCTTCGTACAAAATTATTTAATTCATCTTAGCGACAGAGTAAAATAGAGTTGAAACTGTTACTTGTGTGTATGTCTTAATTTTACAGTTATTATGACGGTTTCTATATTTTATTTATTACATCACTTTAAAGTTCATAACAAACAATCTTGTGGTATATAGTCCTGTGGTTATTCATGTGGGATGGCCATTTTTTTCTCGATACAGTTAAAGTTCTGTTTAGATAATATTATAAAAGGGGCGACTAATTTCAACCATCATTTAAGCCGGTACTTGTTGAAAGTGTTTTCCCTCATTTCTCGTAAGTGTTATCAGTTCAGAGTGTATTATAACCCAATCTCACAGCGGTTGGTGGGCTAATTAACTCCCCTGATATTCCATTTATTAGGTTGGAACTAATTAACAGTCAAAACTACCTATTAACACTTCACGCAACAATAACCGTCTTTGCAGAGTCTTCAGTCTAGTCTGTTCAATGTCAGACGCCATATTTAATTGATGACACGTGACACTTTCACCGAGGCTAAACTTGACACATTATTTTCCATGAGTGTATCTTTGAAAAAATAATTGAAGATTTGCAAAAAAATAATTCGAACACAAATCAGTATATTACCACGCCATGGCCGTGATGCGAGTGAACCTTTTTGGGATTGAAAACACTCTATTTTAGAATTCTTGATGTTGACATCATACGCGAAAGTATAAATAAGAAGTTTCTTTATTTTGTGATGCTAAAAAAACCCGATACAATCAGCTGCAACGACAACCTGATCTGTCCACTGTATGTCGTCATAATTATATGTATGTTTAAATTCTGTTACAACAAGGTGTTCAGTGATAGTTATTACAAACCTGCAACTACATTTTGTAAACCTTGTGAGATTACAGTAATTGTTACACATCACATGTTAGGAAAATACCTTAATCAATCAATTGCGCCATCGAATAAAATATTAGCATGTAATAGGAATTCCCTAGAAACTGTAGGTCCAAAATATATTATAAACTCTGTGAATTGATATTTACGAGCGGTCATGGGATTGTGCATGGATTAGTTAACTTTTCCTCAAATCAAATCATCTTCGTTATTTCCAAAAGAACATCAAATTGCCGTTCGGATGGGATGAAAAACCGAGGTCTCGTGTACACATTTGCCTGCAAGTAAAAGAACCCTTGACAGTTGGAATTCGAAATATAGGGCATAGTGGAAAATTACCTCATATCTCAGTCGGTGCAGAACAGTAAGACGATCCCATTTTATTTTATTTCTATCAATAAATATACATTTTAACTCCTTGGTTTCACAATGTACATCACAAATTTGTTGTCACTGAACGTCTTCAACTATACATGTGTGGTGCTGAGATCGAAGTTAGCTTATTAGACCCTAAAACATCGAGAGGGGCGCAATGACGATCTTTGCGCCCCCTTGAATATTTGCGCCCCTCGCAAATGACAAAAAATCACGCGGTTTCAATGCGGTTTTCAACATTATAATCATAATCATAATGCTCAACCAGTGTCAAACATATACCGTGGGTCAAATATGCTACAAATCGACTCTAGCATGTTCCACCACACAGTCTAATATTACCCGGTGGCACTGGGAGGGACTGCCACCCCACCCCTCCCCCACACACATATTTTTTTGCGGGGGGGGGGGCGGACGGAATCTTATTCCTCATGCAAAATCATCAGTCACTACGCCCTTGCCATTCAGAGGTGATCATAGCTTTTATGATTTTAACATGTCCGGATAAGCACGACCATCAAACATTTCAGTCCAATATCAGCTCTGTCCAAAAATTATCTTTAAAAAACATTTTTCTTTTTTCAATTTCAACAGCATTCATTTCAGATTTGTTTGACGGCACAAGCCAACTTTGCTGATGCCAGCAAAACTTTCAGTATCCAAAATAAATGTCAAATGACAGTTTAATCTGTTGATTATTTCGAACGCATGAAGAGAAAACATTATATTATGTGAAAAAATGTGGATATATGGATAGTATTCATAAGAATCAGAAGGATGTAACTTTATAAATAAATAAATAATATTTGTTTCAATAATCTAAAAAGAAAGAAGAATCGGAAAAAAATATATACCGTTGCTCCAACACCGGGAAAGAATTAAAATTATTTTCTTTCAAGTAAAATCTACATGGATATAATATGAATTGTACCATCCATCATGAAAGCGTTCCGTCCACAGACGACCATGATGTAATATTCATTAATGTTTATCACTTCTTGTCTCATATTTCTTTCATCATAAAACCCCCCAATAAATCGTTGATCCAAAACCGGGAAAAAAATTAAACTTTATTTTTGTTCAGTTGAAATCTAAATGGATATAATATGAATTGTACCTCTGTGTTCCTTTCATAGACGACC